GTAATATTCCATGGTGTATATGTACCACATCTTCTTGATCCAGTCATCTGTTTTTGGGCATTTGGGTTGTTTCCAAAGCTTAGCTATTGTAAACAGTGCTGCTATAAACATAGGGGTGCAGGAGCTCTTTGGAATTGATGTTTCTGTGTCCTTTGGGTAAATACCCAGGAGTGGAATTGCTGGATCATATGGAAGCTCTATGTTTAGTAGGCAACCTCAACTTTTATTTTTATGTTTTTCCTCCCATCCTCTCTTTTCAAACTACCCTCACAATTTTAAAGTCAAATAGGTATATATTTGAATCAAACTTGTGTTTTAAGCTATTTTTATAGAGGTATATTATTGTTTACTCAGGAATATGGATAAATTCACTAATTTTGGTTTGGTAGCGCAAAGGGAATAATGACATTTCAAAGACATTTCTGGTATTTTTAAAGCTATTACCTAATGCATTAGTCAATCATATCAGATTTGCTGACAATCAGTGTTATCTATTTACAACTGAATGAGGTAGCACAAAATAACTGATGTACTTCGGGGCTATGAAGGACTGAGACTCAAGTGTTCAAAAGTATTTTAAGATCTTCAGTGCCTTTTGTGAAAAGCAGTGATTTGTTAACATTTCTGAAAACTGTATGTAGGTTCTTTTCCTTAGCTATCAAGACAGATATGCAAAAGAGCTATTAGTCTACATTTCAGAGTCAAAGTTGTCATCCCTCACAAAACAAAAACAAATTGTTGCTCACTGACCACTCTTACTCAGAAGGTTCTCATACACCTTTCAGCAAAGCCACAGTCATGGGTCTCACAGGACATAAAGGGATGCAGACGACTCACAGTCCTGCCTAAACGAGAACTAATCATTTTACCAACATTTTGAGAGACTTCCTATGTAAGATTTCAATTATGAATGAAGAGTAAAAGAAAGCAACTGACCTATGTTTTCAAATTAAAACTGAACTTGAGTCATATCAAAAACAGATCCCAAACTGATATTTCAGATCTTAATTTAACTGAAAAATTTAACTGAAATCTCTTTATAAGTTTGCATTTATAAATATAAAAACAATGCATTTATTATTACAAAATGTACTTGTCTTTCTTTCATCAATGTTTTCATAGTTTCTTTGACCTAGAATTTTCTTCATTTGAACTCATATATCAAAGAGAAAAATTAACATGCAAATGGCACTGCTACTTTCGAATTCTTCTAGAAGCCTAATAGTTTGGCATCATTTTGCCCTCCTTTCCCTTCTAATTTTTCCAATAATATTTATGTGGTTTTACTGAATTCTTATCTACATTATATAATTTTATTTCTATTGATTTATCTCTTTCATTTTACTGGCACATCTTTGCAAGAAGAAAAATTATTGTTATGTTATCGACAAAGCTCTACTTTGATTTTTGTCTCACTGACTCCAATAGAACGTAATATGTGAAGAAAAAGGAAAGTGTGAAGAGAATGCTGACATTTCAGTATGGCCAGGTGAGTAATATTTCTAACTATCTGCCATGTCCTTAACAAATATTCTGAAGACATTCAAAGTTTTTTTGATGTTAGACCTTGAAACAGTGATTGATAATTAACACCAACCATGCTTCATTTATGGGGTGCTCAATTGGGGTTTAGATTTTTTTTTTTTAATTTTTTAGATTTATTTATTTATGTATACAACCACTGGGTACAGTCAGAAGCACGGGAAGCTGAGAGAATTCACCAGAGCCAGAGTGGGGAACAGAATGGGCAGACTGATGAAGTACACTGCTGAGGGGAGCAGCGGGCGCGGCATGAGAGGTCTGTTGTGCCATGTGGGACTCTTACCAGCAGCCAGGGATTGAACCAGTGCTGCAGAGGCTGCAGGCAGCTTCATAGCCCAGAGCTCAAATGCTGTGCCACCAGGGAAGGCCCAGGGTTTAGATATTATGAATGGGTATATAATCTAGGCATTTAAATCAAAGACCACCTATGGGAAAGGTCAGGCAAAATAAAAAGAATGGAGCAATAGTTCATATATCAGAGCAAAAAAAAACATCGTTATTATATTAGTAGTTTGATACTGATCATTGTGTTTTATAAATTCCTTTCATTGGTTTTGAAAAGTGCAGAAAGATCAGATCCAGCAAATGATATTCTAATGGGAATTCCAGTGGTTTGGCCATGCAAATATTGACCTATTTATTCCCCAATAGAATTTTTTTTTTAAAAATGTTGCTTCCAAAGTATTAATTAATGCATTTAAATACTGATGGTTCCACAATCAAGATCATCAGTAGTATTTAATAAAATTAGTGAAAAGACATAGCTGAGAATGACACATAGTTTGACACAGTTTTATATATAATCTTATATAGGTTTTCTTTTTATCCTTCCCTTTCCTTCCTACCTTCCTTCTTTCCATTTATTTTTCTAACAAACTAGTCACTGAATCACCCTAAATTATAGAGCGCAAATTATGTGCAATCAGTAACTTCCAGATATGAAATACAAGACTGATGACAAGTGAAGTCTAAAACTTTAAAAGGAATTGGGAACCACTGTTCATCCTTTTCTGATATCTGAGTGGATATTTGTTTTTGTTTTTTTTTTTTTCATTTAATATTACATCCTGATAGAAGGAATACTGTTGAAAATTTTTACAAACACCTCAGCAATATGGTCATTCACATTGTAGATATCATAAAAAGAAAAGGAAAACTCAGTTTTTCTTAACCAGGCAATATTCGAAAATGGCATAAGAAACCTAAACATACAGTCAGCTGATGGTGAGCTTGAATGTGCTACTGGAAAAAAAAATGATGCTCAGATGGCATAGAGAAGCACAACTTCACACAAAGTATTAACTTTCTGAAAGAACTGAACCTGACATGCCATCCCAATATAAAGCCTTCAGAAATGAAGAAACTGTTTATCAACAATGTCATGTTGAAGGTGAAGAGGTGAAGAATTGGAGCTGCCAACAGTGACAAGAGATAACATATCCAGCTTTTAATCTCAGTTCTATACATGGAAGGTTGCACAGTCTATAAATGATTTCCTTGGTGTCTTTCCCAGAAGGTTTATCTTCTTTATTCACCACTGAGTGGGACCACGTTCAACAGAAACAAGTCAATGTTTTGAGGTTAATTACTATTATCACCTATACTTTTAGAGTACACAATTACCAATATCAAAAATACCTGAAGGCTTTAACATCAACAAAATGTTTTATTATGACTATTATGTAGAGTCATAATATTAAAGATATATCCATTATAGTAAATTAATAACAAACATGAAATTTAAGAGTATGGAAACTAGAACTTCTAATGACATTAGCAATGAGATCCTTAATTTAACTGTAATTCTATGTCCTTGGAAATAAGGGCCAAATATGGTCTTTCTTAATCATCTTTTGTCTTTTTCTTGTATTTGATCAGAAAAAAAAAATACAGCTGACATTTCTAAATACTTGACATGTAAAAACTTTATACTCATTTAATTTTCAAAAAGATAGGAAGTTAATATGGTAATTTCCCCCCTTTCACACTCAAGTACACATAGATTAAGTAACTTTCAAAATCTGTACACAGGTTTTGACTGGCAGAAAGTACTTACAAACCCGGGAATTCTGATTCCAGCAGCACCAAATATATGCAATACATTACTCAAGACTTTATCTTGGACCAGATGTAAAATTGCTTGCAAAACTAAAATTTTACTATGTAAACTGATTCATTTTTTAAACATTTCTATCACTAATGAGCATGTGGTAATGGGGTGGCCAGGTGCATACTTTCATGAGATGCTTTACAGTATGTCATGAATAAAACACTGACTTAAACAAAAGAAGGTAATTTTGAGCTGTGCATATCCAGTTGACTTAGTAAGATTTAAGAATATCTGTTTTAACCACAGAAATATAATGCATACACATTGTAGACAGTAGAAAGACATTAAGAATAAGCCAGCTTAAACCAAGTTACTTTCCTCTGATGAGAAATTTCTTTCTTCACACTTATTTTCTTGACTTCTCATACTACATAATATTCAGAAGGTGACCCACCCAGAGCACCCCAAATAGAATAACCTATGCCCAATTGTTATTCCTAAGAACAAAAGTGCTGTTCCAGTTGAATCTAATCCTGTCCAACCAACTGTGACCAGAGAACTGAGCTACAAAATATATAAACAATTTGGAGTTGATTTTCTGCAAACAAAAAAAATAAAAATTCCATTTGCCACCTATAACAGGAAGAAATACGTCTAAGACAATGGTTGCTATCAGTCAACATTGTCAGTAAGAGTATGAAAAGCATCAAGATAATTTGTTTTTCCAGATGCTGATTCTTTTCCATCTTATATAGACACTTCCTTATAGAACATAACTTTATCCATTTGTTGTAATCTCAGGCAAGTTCACAAAATCTCATCATATACAGAAATGGTAGTATAATTTTAACAATGAAGTAGGTTGGTGAGGGCCATGTGTGTTATAGATTGATATATCTAATACCAGGAAATGTACACCTATTTTTTTCTTCCCGTATTTCCTACCCTTGAATCTGCTGACATTGTTCCTTTCTTATATTAATAGTCTGAAGCCTTAGTTTTGGAGAAGATGTTATTAATCCTCGTTTAAGTAGTTGAAAATAAGTTTTACCCGTTTATGCAGAGCTATGGATCACAAGAATCACCTGCTTCTCAATAGCTTTAAAGGGAGAGGGAGAACAAAGAGGAACAGGTTGAAAGGAAAGGAGGCAATGTGCAGGGGTCCTGTGGTATTCATCTACTTCCTTCAATCCATTTCAACTTCCTCTATGTTCCATTCTACCCATATCTACAGTTTGGAGCTCACATAAAATTGAAGCATTGTTATATCAATTTGCTTGTCAGTGCAAAAATGCTTTTCGAACATTCTGCCTGGATACCTGACAATCCAATGCAGAAAATAGAAACCTTTCAGGAGTGACTTACTTTTTTTTTCCAGGGGAAACAGATACATGTAGAAGGACTTTGGTACTAATCATCTCTCTCAGTTCACAGAGTCATTCACCCATTTTCTTGTTTTTTTTCCCCCATTCTCAAACGATTCAGTTCAAGAAATACACTGTGCAATGAAGAGTGGTGTGTCTTGCAGAGAAGGCTCCACTCCGAGGAAAGGTATTATTTTCAGAGAGCAGTATAGATAAGGTGGTGGATATCTGTAGTAAAGGAGCCCCTAATGAGATACATATGAAATATGGTATTAATCCTCTTAAATGTCCTGTTGTGATGAAACACAGAATTGCAACATCTCCCTGGTAACTGGATATGTATAAGCTTAAGCCCTGATGACAAGGTGTAGGTTTGGGGGTCAGTTATGGACTCTCTGTGTATCATATTGAACCAAGCTATCTGTGACATAAAATGAAAACGGAATTATAGGTGTGCAGTGATGTTAATAACTACTTAAATCAAAGACAAAGCTATTTCCCTAAAGAGAGCATATCCTTGACTCTTTGCATATAATCCTGAAAGAAGCAGTATGCACTTTACTGCTAAGGACTCTCGTAATCTTGAGAGACTAGCTGATTGCTCTAATTTTCATCTTCCATCCATCACTTCAGGAACTTAATTGAAAATAACAAGAGATTAAAAAAAAATCAGAAAAATAAAACTAAATGGCAAATAATTTATGAAAATCAGATCAATCATATGCAAGAAACAAGTCAAGGATATTGAAGTGCTATAGTCGTAAAACAGATATAATTTATTGTGGTTAGAAAACATCTGGATTTAAATATATTATGGAAGAAAATTAGAAGCTAGTTTTTGTTTTTAATAAAAAGGTATATGTATGAATGTTATCATTATGTATTTTTCAACTTAACGGGAAAATGGAGACAAAATTAACGTAGTTTTGACAATCACTTTTCATCTAATTCAGAATTTCTAAAATTGCTCTATTTTTTTTTAATATAGTTGTTCAGGTCAACTACTGAGTATTGATTTCCCTGGAAAAATGGCACCGGGTATTGTCTGGTCCAGTGATATACGTGAAGCTATGAAAACTTTGTCATTATCTCCAACCTCTAAATCATTGCCTGTGTATGTAAGTGTGTATTGAGGGAAGATATATAGAGGAGAGGAAGTATTCAAAACAATAAAATAATAACTAAGACAGATGTAAGACAATAAAATATCCAAAGAAATCATAAATTAAGAAAATTAGACTGGAAACTAGAATAGATTTGGATTCCATCTTCACTATTCAACTCAACTTTTTTCAACTTGTTTTGTTTTCTGATACAATTAGCTATATCATTTCAGTTTTTAAACTGTCTGAATGTGTTATGCATTAAAAGCTCAAGATAAAAGACTATACCTTGTAAAGTGAAATTAAATTTAGAAAATATATTATAAAGGATCTAGTATTTGAAAATGAATTTGTTTCAAAGTTGTTTTAAGGTAAATATGAAATAGTCTAAATTCAAACTTTAAAAGAATAAAACTAATTTGAAAGTAACTTAAATTCCACAAGTGAAATACAAACTCTTTCAAGATATACAACAAAATTTATGACAGCAATTAAAAATTTGCAATGACAAAACAGAAAAATGTAATCTATAACAAGTAGAAATATGAGATAATAGGAACAAACCAAAGAATGACTTATGATGAGATTAACAGATAAGGGTATTGAAACAACTTATATAAACATGCGCCACACACTCAAGCAAGAATATGCAAGAAAATACTAAAATTGTGAGGAGTAAAATAGAAGTCACAATCGTGCCTTATTGGTAAAGATAATTGTATAATGATTATATAAAACTAAAGATATTGAAATTAGCAGATTAGACATTGTCAAAAAAATCATCAGGGTATTTGAAGAAATAGCAATAAAACCTAGGTAGGCAAAGTGAGTCCCTGAAAAGAAAGGATTAAAGAAAAAAATAACAGAATGTCAATGACTTTTGGGAAAGCAACAAATGCCACTGGAACTCCAAAGTAAGAGTAAGGGTAAGGAGCTACCAAAAAAAAAAAAAAAAAAAAAAAAATTACTATTTGAAGAGAGGGAGGTAAAATTTTTTCCCAAAAATGATGACAATAAAAAAAATACCTAATACATAAAATTAACCAACACAATGCAAAAAGAGGTGCAAGAAGAGAAGATGAGGAAGACAAAAAAGAGGAGACATTGGAGCACCCAAGATGCATCAGACACAGATTGAAGAAAAGCTTTGATAAGAATTTGCCTGCCTTCGCCAGCTGCTCCCCTCAGCAGTAGCAGGTATTTCAGGAGATCTGCCTGTTCTGCTCTCCACTCTGTATCTGGTGAATCCTCTCACCTCCTGTAACTCTGGTCTATTCCCCAGTTCTTGCATGCATAAATCATTAAATCATCTTTTTTTAAAAAAGGTGCATAATAAATTGGGGAAAAGAGTGCATTTGCCTCCAGAAAATGTATTTTAAAATTATAGCAAGCAGATGGAGATTTGTTCATGATGGCCCTAAAATGACTTCCGGTGTCAAATCTATTTCTCTCATGGTATTAGCCATAATTCATATATTTCCAGTTTAAATTCCCAGTGTTCTGCAACCCTCCCTATTTTCATCTCATTCCTATCTTCCTTGAAATTCTTTTGAAGGTTTCTGTTGAAATGCAGAAAAATACTTATTCATGCCTCTGTTGAATAAATTATTTAACTCAGTGAATTAAAGTAAAATGCAAGGTTGACTTGACCCTAAAATAATAAACATATAGCTATATGTTTGCTTTTTTGCTTGCTCTCTTTGAACATTAATGTATACAAAATGGGGAAAAACTCAGTTTAAATAAAATAGCAAGTTCAGTGTATATTTCTGGAGCTGTTATTTTATCTATTGCCACTCTAATAGCATAAGACAATTTGAAGGTCAAAAGTTTTCACACATGCAAAACAGCCCATTGAAAACATACCTGAAGTACTTATTCCTACAACTGGCCTTTGACTTCAGAAAAACTTGTTATGATAAAGCTTGTCTTGAGAAACAGCTCAGTTTCACTAAGAAAGGTCAAAAGGTATCTGATATCTGAACTCAAGCAACATTTCTAATATATATATTTGTTAAAAAGCATTATTCATTCTGAGAAAATATTTAACTTGTTGCTACTTTATAGCCATTAAATTGGAGAGTTTCATAATCTAATATGATTTCTGCAAATAGCTGAAACTATGTTAAAAAACAATTCCCCAAAAATATTTAAATTGAAGTGTTAGTAGAATGTGGATAGTCTTCAATAAGTAAAATTTTAGATGTTTTTAATACTGTTTCTCATCATTGCATTTTCTTGCCATGAGTTGTGTATGATTTGTGGTTACTTAAATCAGAGTTATATATGTGCGGAGGAGAATGAGGAGAAATTGTGAAAAAATTCAGATTTGGCAAAGATTGTGGATCTGTAGTGCTTACCCACCCAATGTTATATTACTACCGTTCCTATTGCCTTAATTTGTAAAATAGTTCAGATAAGGTCTAAAGGCATTTACCTAAGACTAGTGCAATAAATTATACATTGTTACTTTAAATTAGAAATATTTGTATAGAATTAACCATGATTTCTAATCCTATTTCATGTTTTACCTTTAATTGTATATAACTATTTAAAGTATTATATTATGAACTTACTAAAATTGCAGGATTTCAAAAAATGGGCACATTTGCAATTTACCATGAATAATAAGAGTACAGCTATAAAGCATGTGAAAATTTTGTGTCAGAGAAGAAGTAAACTGGTACACACTTGAGGGGAAAGACAATTATGATCCAGACGGACTAGAGAAAAATAAATTGGCTCATTTTAACTAACAGGTCATTACGCTAATGACCTTGACAGATTATTTTATAGTTACTATGGTACCTATGGACTTAAAGTCTAATGTACGACTCAAAAGATAGCAGATAGATACTCTATTAGATTGATTGCATTTAAACCGGAGCAATTGCTGTGTGATTCTGGACATGACTGGAACATGTTGTAAAATACTGGTCTGCACAAAGGCACTTAAAGGCATAATTACCCTTGAGGGAGCAGCACACGCAGTGATTCAGAATCAGCGATGTTATTGGAGAGAAAGTTTGAAGAAATTGGGCGTATTCATTTTAATAAAGGAACATTAACCTTTCATGACCTTATTGCAGTTACAGAATTCCGAAAGCAATAGATAAAATTGATCCTAATAAATTCTCCTGTCCACTCTAAAAGTCAATAAGAGGAGATGATGATCTTGCAATTGGGAAACTGGGGGCTAGAAATGAGATTGAGGTATAGGTATTTCATTCACAGCGTGGGATAAATTGTGAATAAGGCTGTCAGAAGTGAGGGGGTGTGTGGGGTTTGTGTGTGTGTGAGAGTGTGTGTAACAGGAAGCAGAATGCAGTAGCAATGGAGCTTTGGAAGAGCAGAATGCAAAAAACTTAAAGTGAACTGATCTATTTAATACCTTACTCAAACTTCATCAAATTCTGGATTGATAAAATTAATAAAGCAAAGAACTTCAATTGTTATAGAAACCTCTGTGTATGACCTAGAAAAAGTATCTTCCTCTCCAGTTCTGCCTGAAAACGGAGCCTGGGTTCATCTAAAATTATCACTTGTAACACTTCCCTCCTTTAAAATGGCATCCTATTTTCTGTATGATTAAATAGAAATTCCTTGTCTTGTGATTCAGACTTTCTAGATCTGACCCCAGGGCACATTTTCAGAATCACTTTCTTATCTTTCCCACTGATATCTGGAATTAAATTTGTATTTTGAAACAGTTTTCAGAAATACTGAAGAAAAAAGAGGCTTTCCAAAAAACCAACTTAGATATTACTACAGAGTAAACCACTGAGATGAAAATACAAGGGATAGTATTTCAAGTTTATTTCACAAGGGTCTTTTTTTGTCTCTCCCAGAGAACCAGAATGGGAACACAACCACGGAATATTTAGTATTTTACTGGACCTGATTTGGTAATAGGAAGTTTGGACATAAACCTGTATCAGTATTTAACAGCTATTTTAGTATCACAGAGCCAAATATAAATTGTAAGAAAGCAAACTCCGGATTTTACCCCACCCCCAAATTCTCTTACTTTAACTTAGCGGAATTTAATATAGGGGGAGTCACAGAATATGACAACCAGATTTTTTTTTTCATTTTGTGAACAATTATATATAGAAAATACATATATAGATTGACAATATTCT